GCCAGACTCCACCCAGGTTTGTATTCTTTAAAAGGTAGAGAGATCTTGAGTTAGGAAAGAAGCTGTTCTCTGTGCTGGGACACAGCAGCAGAGCCCTTTGGGGGTTGAGTCAACCTTTTGTGGTCATCCTAACTTCATGTTCTGCTCTTGCAGTTTACCCAAAAGATGTCTTCCCAGATAATTGCCTCACATAGATTCACCAAGCCTTTTCCTGATCCCATTTTACATGTCAGTCCTCTTTAAGTTCTCTCTCCTTGGCCAATTGCCTTTTAAGCTAGTGAACACATGCTATAGTCATGCTTTTCGGTCGGAAGGCCCTTAAGACTATACACATGGCTAGCCTGTCGGGTCTCTATTTGTCCACCATAGATAGCCACTAGATAATAGCTAAATTCTTTTCCTTTGGGGTGAGGTCGGGGCTGGAAAGTAGTTTTAATTAATTTCTTTCATAATGGAAATAGTTCATGAACATATTATTTAAAGTTACCTTACTTACAAAGAACGATACAAATAAACCTCCAGCTTCCCCAAGGGTTGAAATCCCTTCCTCCATTTGTGCTCCTGAAAAGCAATATTTTAAGACTCTTGACTGTTTCTTTTTTCATTTTTTTCTTTTGTTTTGTTTTTTACCTCCAGTCATGAATTAATGCAGAAATATTAAGCTACACAAAATAGGGATGTCCTGTAATACTTTATCGAGGGAGAAATCACTTACGTGAGAAGCCAAGAAAGTCGAGAACCAAAGGTCCCACACTGTTCTCCGGGCTGCATCCAGAACCCAAAGAGAAAGAGTCTTCTTTCCCTAGCTCTTTTATCCCCTGTACGTTCTTCGTACCTGTGACCACACCCAAACGGACGTGGTCTGCGCTACGGATATGTAGATCTCTCCCTACAATTCCCCTTTTAGTCTAAAGAAAAAATTTAGACTTAAAGTTTTGTCAATATACAAAATGTCTCAAACATATATAAAGCATATATACATAGAAGATGATAAATTATAATCTATCTGTGTCCTATCCTAAGCATATCTACCCATCTAAACCCTAAACTTACCTGAAAGAGATGTCCAAGTCTGAATATCTCCTTCCAATCCCAACCCTAAATAATTACAAACTAACTAACAGGTGTAATGTCAACAGTAGGGAAAGGGGGCGTAGTATTCTCAGAATTACTTCCTGCTGAAATGGGACAATGAAAACCTCATGGGATCCTGTAGGAAGAAAATGTTAGTGTAGTGGAAGTCCCGAGTGGACCAGCCACAACATTTGTACACAGTCTCTGTTTGATGGGAGGTCCTTGATAAAAGTTCTTGACCAAAGTTCTAATGTTGATTGAAGCTCTTGTCTGAAGCTCTGGCCAGGTCGTAGAAGGTGCATCATATCAGTTAATTAGTCTGGAGTTGTGTAGAGCGATGTAGTCCCATACCGGTTTCAGGATGTAGAACTCTCCCTACGAAGGATCAACACTCCTGCAATGATACTGCTCCCTTCTCCCTCACTTCCGAAGATGAAGATGGTCTCTCTGCTCCTCGCCTGCGCTCCCATTGTCGTGTCTGTGCCTATAACCTCAGTATGTTTATGTCATGCTGTTTGTTAGATCTCACTGGGGAGCACAGAGAGCCATGTCCACTTCAGCATTTACCTGTGCTGAGCTGGAGCTGCACACCTGGGTTCTTGACACAGGGCCTCCTGGAGATCTCCTTGCTGCTATCATGTTTTGTTTGTTTCCTTGTATTGCATTCCTATTTCCTAGTTTTCATTCCTACCCCTCTCCCTGATTTATGCTTTCCTTTAGTGGAATGGCTCTTTAGTGAGCTTAGGGAAGAACAAAAGAATTGTAACCTTAATAGTGTCATTTGAAAACATCACTATTGGACCTTTTTATCTCATTGATAACGGAAGGTACCCTTATAGGTTATTTTATGAAATAAATCTCAATTAATTGCGCCATATTTTTCTAATGTCTCTTTTCTCATATGGTGTGTAGCCCATCTTTGCCTGTCCAAAGTCAGAATCCTACAGTTCCCTCTCGTGACACTTGTGTGGGCCTCAGTCATTGTACTGGTTTCCAGTGGTCTTTTTATTCTGGAGACACATCCACACACATCTCCCTTCAGAGGTTACATCCTGGCTGTCAGGTTCTTTGGTGAAAAATAGAGGACACAGGCTGGTGTATTAGCCAGCTTTGCATGATTATAATGATGTACTGGATACTGGGCACCTGTAAGGCAAATAGAGGTTTGTTTAGCTCAGAGTCGATGAACACATGGGTTCCATTAGTTGGCCTGTGAAGACAGCAGATAATGGCAGCACATCATGCTAGGATCGTGTAGTATTGGAACAAATGGCCATGTCAAGCTAGACAAGAAGAGAGATTGAATGAGAGCAATAGTGCCATCTTGGGGGCCAAACTCTTAACTTTTGGGGGATACAATCCATATTCAAACCTTACTAGTTGTTTAGTACACATGGTGAGTGCTATGGAATCCTACCTTCAGCATGGTCAGCTATTCTTTTCTTAAAAGAAACCTCCTGGACCCCCATGCCTTTTCTCTTCCGTCTAGAGAAACAAGGCTCTAGTTTCCATTTTCTGTTACATCTTAGAAAGCTTCTTCCTCATAGAAACCAGAACGCGTGAGCCATGCTTCCTCTCCCAGATGACTGTCCCTCGTGTCATGCCTGCAGCAGACATGTTAACCCTGCACACACTGCTTTATGTTGGCCTTTGCTGTCAGACACATGCCCACTGTCGCAGGCCTCACTTTCATAGATCATGAGAGAGAATGGTGTTAGGAGGCTGTTTACTCATTAAGCAAGTGAACTAGGAGGAGGATGAGGGCAGAGTTAAGAGGGGGCGAAAAGTGTGAAGAAGAGGAGTCAGGTCTGCTTAGGAGAGAAAGGATTTAGTGCTCCAGACTCATACATAATTTGGTGCAGCAACCAGGCAAAGATAACATTATAGGACTTTCAATGTCTTCTATTCCTGTTCCCTAGGTTCTTTGTCAGTTTTTTTAAATCATTATTTTAGAAGAGCATTTTGAAACTATGCTAATGGTAGTTTAGCAGTATGATGATATTTTTCAAGGGCACAGGCGTTTTATCCATCCAAGGTTCTTAAAAAAGCTGTGAGTGCACAAATGAATAGGAAAGACAGTCTCTTCAAACATGTAGATGTAGAAGTTTTTAAGAGTATTTGAAGAAATAAAATCTTATGACTTTCTTTTCCTGAAGACATAGACTGTATCAATATGTTCTTAAGTAATTAGTAAAACAATAGGTTTCTGCATAATTTAACAACATTTAAAAAGAATTTGAAACTCAGAAATACTATATCAAACTGTTTAACATTACTTTTGAAAAGCAGAACTTAGTAAAATCAAAACAGTCATAAATCAATAACCAGTATTCATAAAAGATGTTCATTGTGGATGAAGCATGATTGAAGGGGTGTGGCTGCCTCTTAGGATATCATTAGCATGGTTCTGTGGTGCCCACTTCCCTTCTCTCTTTCTGTCACCCTGTCCTTATTTTCTGGGGTCTGCTGTTTCCCTTTGTGAATGTTGTTGCTGGTCCTTCTCTAAGTCCCGCGGTCTAGGGTCCGGTCCTAGCAGTGACATCGTACTTTCCAGTTCTAACCGTCTCACTGACTCCATGCTCTGCAGTGAGAACTTTGCAGCAGGTGCTATCTCCAGCATCTCAGCCCTGGCTGCCTGTAGACAAGGCTGTGCAGGTCTACTCCAATGAATAGATGATTACAGAGCATTCCCACTTCCTCAAATGTAACATGTATTGTAGACTTTTTAATAAAAGCTTGAGGTGAATAAAAGGAAAAATTTGTGGATTTTTTTTGTGGTCACTGCCAGCTTTGCATGTGATATTAGTGCTGCTTGCCACTGCGTAACTTATGTAGTTCAAAGCTCAATGATGCTTTCCCATGGACATTTGCCTTTGCAGTGCCCAACCTTGTGGGCCTTGTTTCTGTGTCTCACTATAGTCTCCCATTCCGGCATTTCATTTGACTCTAATTGTTCATATAACTGACTTTGACTTCAATTCATTATACACTTTGCAAATATGGATAACTTCTCTCATTTCCACTCTATGCCTTGAAAGCCCAAAGGTCAATATAAGCCTATTTGAACTGTACGTTTTGGGTCAAATGATGGTCCCTGAATGCTAAAAGCACTTTCACTTTCAGCTGTGTTTTCCTCAAGGGTTTTCATGCAGCTATCATTGTGGACTCAATCCTACTTAATTTGTAATCAACTCTGATAATGAGTGCAACACCCAGAGTCAGTCAAAGCATAGTCTTGATTAGTAAGTTACTAACATGACTCCCTCCACTAACACTGGGGCTACTTTCTAGGCACCTTCCTATGAAAACAAAAACAGAAAAGGGATAGGGAGGTAATCGTTGAGAAGCAAAACCAATCTTGAGGTGACATGTTTAAGAGAAGTAATTAGATATTTTAATGAATGTAGTATTTTATTCTTAGTTGAGAAATCACTTTGAAAATGGCTTTATTTTATACATGTTATAATCAAAATGAAGCCTAGGCCCACACTTCTTGAGTTCACCATCAACCCGTATCTTAATCCACAGAATCCTAGAGCTAAGACATGAAACAGGAATATAACTTGGAGATGAGCAGATAGTCCAGCTATTTCAAGAATGCTGTTTATAGCCAACCATGCCCCCAGAGTCACTATAGCAAGGAGAATGGAAAAATGTGGGGACAGCATCCCGAGCCCATGGTGCTGCCTCATCAAGACCTAAGTTTTGCCTTGCTGTGGAATTCTACTTGGATCTTAAGGGAAAGATTAGAGCTGATGTATATTTGGTTGCCCACATATTGTATGTGAAGTCTGTGAACCCAATGAAGGTACAGCTTTAGGAGCTGAGTGAGTGTGTGTAGGCTGGTTTGATCCTGGGTTCTCTAGTCCTCTCTGTTCTCGTGATGTAGTGTTTGCTTCTAAAGGCTGTTCTTTCTTTGTCTCCAGCGTCCAGAGCGAAGCTCAGCATGATCAACACAATGTCAAAAATCCGTGGCCAGGAGAAGGGGCCAGGCTACCCTCAGGCAGAAGCACTGTTGGCAGAGGCCATGCTCAAGTTCGGCAGGGAGCTGGGCGATGATTGCAACTTTGGTAAATAGCCTTTGTCACACTGTGACTCTCCATGGAGGTCACAATGCTGGTAAAATGCAACTCTAGACATCACTAGTCAACTATTTTATATTTCAGCTCTCAGTCGTAGATGTTAGACATGGTGCCTAAAATGTGATTTTAGGGTTGCTAATGCATAAAGTGATTTGTCTAAGGGCTTTTGTCCTTTTTCTCTAATGGGACCCCAGCCTTGACAACAGTTTTGGCAGACATACCCAGATGCCTTGGCACTGTACCAGGTGTATCTGGCAGGAGTTGGGTTTAGAGACAGAGTGAGCAGTCACAATCAGCATGATTTGCCACCCTGCCACCTGGGCTTTCTCTGATTAATCTGCTGCTCATTTGTATATGGTCCCCCTGATTCTACATCCCCAGACAAAATAGCATTTATTCCATCTCTTTTATCCTCTGGCTCCCGGGACCCTAAACACCTTCTGCCTTTACCCCTCCTCTTTGATACCTGACCTTTCTGGACCCTAGTTCTCCATTCTTGGTATCTGCTCCTGCTAAAAGCATTGTGCTGCAACTTACCTGAACACTAGCATTTATCACAGAGGACCGAGAACCTTCCAAACTTCTTCTCAGAGTAAAGTGTTACATTCTTCATAAGGAGGACTATTCCTCCCTATAAAGGACTATGGAGCCTGGCTTTCAGAATGGTCTTTGGTAAAGAGGAAAGCTACTGTTGTTGTCTTGAGAGCACCACGGGCTCCCTCTTTGTCTCTGCTGTCTTCATAGGGCAGGGGCAATCCCTACATTGCCATCTTGAAGGTTGTCATTGCAAAGCCACCCGGTCTTTGTTCATCGTGGAGTGACATCTTCATTTCCCCCCTCAGGTCCAGCTCTTGGTGAGGTAGGAGAAGCCATGAGGGAGCTCTCAGAGGTGAAGGACTCCTTGGACATGGAAGTGAAGCAGAACTTCATCGACCCCCTCCAGAATCTTCATGACAAGGATCTGAGGGAGATCCAGGTCTGCGAAGTTCCTCTTCCCAAACACGTGCAGAGTTTCCTTTCCTCAGACAGCGCTTACTGGGTTACCCAGCAGTACGCACACACATGGCTTCTCAACAGCCCCACAAGGCAAAAGGAACCAGACACCGAAGGCTCTTCAGTCCACTGCCACAGCTCAAGCTCGGTTGAATAGTCTTGACACCATTTTCTTTTTTCTCCAAAAGGATGTCCTTTATCTGGGAATCTGTACATTTGTTAATATGAATGATGGGTCAGGCTGATGTGACCCTTACATACTAGTTGTACTTTTCTTTAGCTAAAAATAAGTAGCTACTGTGTCACTTAAAGCACATTCTTATATTTTCATGATTGTTGTTGGAATTGAGAAGAAATGACCACTCCTTCTAAAACACGGAGAACAGTTGTGCTATTGCTGATAAATTCAACTGGCTTTGCCTCTTTCTGACTGAGTTCAAATGCTTTTTAAGAACCCTCCTGCCCAAAGGAAACACACGCACTTAGGATAAGAGTATGAGTTGAAGGTAGGAAATGTTGCCAGGGGAGGAGGCTCTAGAACATTGGCGTACCCTCCCTTCCCAGGCCCTTACTACTCCTGACTGTGTTTTCTTCCTCCCTCGTTAATACACACTGAAGAACAAGGGGGAAATCACTCTTTTCTCTTCCCTATTAGTCATGGAATACTACAGTTGTTAGGGCCCGGGAAGTGGGGGGATGCTATTGATTGTTAAGGAAAGACAAGACAAAACAAACCCTCCTTAACCTGGTCCCTAGGGAGATTGGAAACCTTGTTGCAGATAATGCCAGAAGGGATCGAAAGGGGTTTGAGGGGCATTTGATGAAATATCTTCCAAGATCCCTTGCAGTTTGCTTTGTGACTGAGATGTGTCATCTGTCCATGGAGAGGCTTTAAGATAAGTCATCTGCCCCCTAAAAGCCTCCTCTGTCAAATGGGGCACTTGATGAGACATAGATTACTAGGCTCAGCCCTGGTTATTGTGACTCAGGTAGGCAGGGATCTGCATTAGGTGCTTCTGGTAAACTAGATCAGTCAAAAAAGAAGAATTTCATTACTTCTACCTTGAATTCAGAGAAAGGGGCTGTCCTTTGCTTTCTTTGAGATTCTCTTGAGGAAAAGGACTCGTGGGCTCAGTGTGTACCCTCTCTTGAGGAGGGGTGTGTGAAGGTTGCATATTCACATTTCCTTCTTGTCATTTGATAGAATAGGCATACTTTAATGTGACTTTGGCTTCAGATGCCAAATCAAATCTTTCCATGATTTGCTTCTCATTCTGAATTATTTTTAAAAGTGTCACTACACAGTTAGCCCTTTGAAACACTATCTTTGCTGATGCAAATGCCTATTTCTCCAGTGACAAACCATTTCAGACACAGCCAGTCTCATTTTGGAGGCTCCTGGGAACGTAAGGGGAAAGAGATACAAGCAGGCCTTTTCCATAATATGCCCTTTTGAAGCATACTCTTGCCCTTAACTTTTTCAGCATCACCTGAAAAAGCTGGAAGGCCGGCGCTTGGACTTTGATTATAAGAAGAAACGACAAGGCAAGATTCCAGATGAAGAACTTCGCCAAGCACTGGAGAAATTCGATGAATCTAAAGAAATCGCAGAGTCGAGCATGTTCAATCTCTTGGAGATGGATGTAAGCTACTCTCCTCTGGGTTTTCATTTAATTTTACCATGAAGGCACAGCACCGATGTGTTGAAAGATGATACATCGTGTAACATGCTCCTGTCTGGTTACTCTAAGTGATGAGAACACATAGATGACTGCTTCTTTTGAATAATTTGTCATAAACTAGACATAGAACTTTGTATATTAATGAATTTTAAACTGTTACCAATAGTGCAGAGATAAAGAATGCCTGTGATAACCCAGGAATAGATCCATCATCTTACAAACTACAGTTTAAATATAGAGCATATTGATCTAAACTAAAGTACATTCAGAATTTCGTATTCAAAATTATAGGATGGTCAATATGAGGAGTTGATATTTTCACTGAAAAAATATACAAAATGAAATTAATTATTATAGCATAGGGACTATGTTCAGGGCATTGTTGGGATGTTTTAGAATTGTTTCTGCATCTCCAGAGTGTTAAATTATCACTCCTGGCTTTGGACATTAAATTCCGTTGAGTTCTTTCAGCTGCAAAGCCACCTGAACAGTCCTTTCATCCTTATTTCGCACATGTAGAGATCTGAAAAGCCAGCTTTCCTGTCGTGGTTCATATCCACCTTTCAAGTCCATCAATGCAGCTGCAATGTTTGCAGGATTTTACTTAGTCATCACTTTCATTGGCAAGGAATCTTCAGAGAAAGCCGGAAGGATATATATACACAGGTGGTGTAGGTGCAGTATGCTTAGCTGGAGATCAATAGGAAAGGGAAATTATCCATTAGGGAGATGATTGAGGCACAGATGTCCCACATATACCTCCTGAAATTTGGGGGACCAGAGAAGCTGGAAACATGCCTCAGGCCAATTCTAAAAGACTAAGAATGGATGGTGATGATGGGCTAATTCATTCTGTAGCCAGAGGCTAGAGAGCTTACCAGAAGAGGAGAGCAAGCCCCACGGATGGAGACCTGGAAGTTCTGCTGTTCAAAGGCAAGAGAAGCAGAATCTCTGGCCCCAGGAGAGAGGAGATTGAATCTCTTTCTTTTGCCATTTGCTTTATTTGAACCCTCAATGGACTGGGCAGTGTCTACTATGTTAGATATGCACAGCTCATCCTTGGTCAGTCTTCTGCTTCAAATGCAAGTCTCGTCTGGGAAGCATCTATGGCAGACTTGGCCAAGGAGCATGCTTTGTTAGCTTTTTGAGAATCCTTTAAATTAGCCAGGTTGTCATCCAAAATTATTCACCACATTACCTAGTCGGCTTACCTCCTAAGAGGCAGGGAAGGCATGTGGGACATGTGTAGTCCTCATCATCCAGAGACAGTGTGGGTCTGTCTACAGACGCCTTTTGTCCTTCTGACCACTCAAGTGTAATACTGTAAGAAACTCCATCAGTGTGTCTCCTTGTACCCTGGGCCCTCCTCCTCCATCTTTCAACTCATAGGGACAGCATTCATTGCCCTTCTTAAGTTGGAGGCTACTACTAGCTTATTCAAGGCACAAGACACCCAAAAGTAAGGCTGCTTAGAAAAGTAGGCAATTAACTTTAAATCCTACTTGGATCAGGCTAAGAGGTCAAAAGGTTTATTCCATCCTACAGTATCTGGAGTGAGAAATCAATTTTCCTGTTTTTCATTACCAGCAGTTATTACAATGTAAAATGATGCTTGGATTTTACATTGGCTGCTGGAGGCAAGAAGCTGAAATCTTTCTTTTATTGGGCTTCAGTAAAAGAAGCTACATCCTATCCAGAAAGTTTATAGTTAAGCACAAAACTGTTTAATGAAAGCAAGGAGACCTTCTCAAGCATACTTGTCGCTTCTCCTGATGTACTGCATACAGGGTCCTAGACATATGAATGGTCTCATATCCAAAGTCAACTTAGAACCTGTAGAACCATGGGTGTGCTCATGGCAGGCTGCACAGTCATTGGCATCCCCAGTATCTGGGCTGTATGCTGTACACTGCTTCAAGACAGTAACCTTGTAACTGAAGGGTAGTCTCCCCATCCTTCTACAGATTGAACAGGTGAGCCAGCTCTCTGCACTTGTGCAAGCCCAACTGGAATACCACAAACAGGCAGTGCAGATCCTGCAGCAAGTCACTGTCAGGCTGGAGGAAAGGTAAGTTATACTCCCTGGGTTTGTTACCTGCTAGAAAATGATGTGCAAAGAAACAGAAATAGAAGACTCCATTTGGAGATGAGCTTCTGCCCAGGCCCCAGCTAATCCAGCACAGGCACCTTGTGGACTGACTGCTTGATTTTAATTGCACTGTGCCTTGTCTTACTTTCTTTTGACTCTAATCCTGTGTTTATGAGATGCTGATATTGTATATTTGCTGCCATGGGTTGGTACACCTGAATTCTGTTGGTGACGGTAACTGATTTGCTGAGAAGTATTCTGTATGGCTCCCATGCATATAAGCACTTTGAAAGAGCTCTGTGGACCAAACAGATGAGCAACACTGAGAGGCTCAGAGAGGTGACGCAATGACCAAGGGTCTCACACAGTGGTGCAGGTGGTGCACACAGTCGAGCCTAACCTGTTTGGAAGCCTGTGTCTTTTCAGTCTTGTGTTTTCTTGAATGATAATACAGAAGTCTGCTTCCAGAGAGGACTGCTTCTATGTGCCTGTTAAGTCTCCTTAAATCTGCCTCCCAGCAAGCTGTAGTGATTCTCTATGTGAGCAAGGCTCTGCGTTGTGAAGTACAGCCTGAATGAGTGTATGCTGTGACCCTGTGCTATAATACAGGTGTGCCTTTACCAACCTCAGATTGAAGTATATTCTCATAAAGGAAAGGGGTATAATCGCCCTCACCTCCAGAACAGCATAGCTTAACATTGAGTGTACTGAAGATTGTGGTGTGTGCTGTGATTACATGGCTGATTATGCTTGTGGTGCCTAGCCCTGGGAGAGGACATTATGCTACAGCTAGCCTAAGAAAATATCAGAGTTTGGAATGTGGTTTCTATTGCTTTGGAATCCTTTTTGCATCACTATAATGTCAAAGGAATATTGAAGTGAATCATTGTAAGGCAGGGGCCATATTGACTACACTTATTAAGCCAGGTGACCTTATTATTAACCAGGGACTTTACTATTCTTGCTTTATTTAGCTAGATAAAGGAGGGTTGCTTTGATAAATAACCATATCAAAGAGTTTCATGGCAACCATTGTGGTTAAGATTATGTCCACAGTAAACTCTCCTTGGTGATCAGGGGCAGAATGTCCAGTGAAGGCTCTGGTCACATGCTGCATCCTGGAGATGTCACCTGTTTTCCATTGTTTTTCTCTAGTTGGTCTTCGCTTTGCCTCAGAACCTTCTTCAGTTGGTATTTTTTGCATAAATCTTTGATGCACTCTTGTGGAAGTGTGTCTAATACTGAAGTATCTATGATGGAAAGGCTTAAAACCAACGCATCTCACATCTGTTGAAAACAAAGGAAATGTGCTCTTTTTTATATCACAAACATGTTTGAAATAAGTATAATTCTAGAATTGCCATACCCCTAATCTTTCTCTCCTTAAAATAAAATATAATTGCCTTAATGAATCCCTAAAACTGGAAAATATGGGCAGAATCCACTGACAGGCCCTCCCTTTTCCTGTTTTCTTCATTCCTTCCCCACTCTGATCTCCATCTGTTCATTCTCATTTGCTCATGACCACTCCTCTTACCCTACCTGCAAATCTTCTCAGGATCTGCACAAAATAGCTTTCTTTCGCATGTTCTCTTGTAGACCTGTGATCTCCTTCCTTAAACCATTCTCCAGCTTCTTTATGGATAAGTGAACTCTCCATGCCTCTAACCTCTGCCCCATGTACTTGATCTCTTTGTGGAAATCTGTGTGACACTACTGTCTATAGTGGTCAGGGGTGCCTGCTCTCACCTCTACAGCGCAAGCTGCTTTGGAGCAACAACTGTGTCTTGTGCACTTTTGTGCTCCTGGCCCCTGTCATGGTGCCTATGAGCTTAGATTACTCTGAGTGCAGGAGAGGGAGACGGAGAGAAAGGGCGAAGACAGTGAGGACAAGATGAAAGAGAAGCTTCCCCAAGAACACGTTGCATGCCTGTGGAAGACCAGACCAGGGCTTCTTAGTACCCTTTCCACTATGTCATAGCAGTTTTCTAAGTGAGCCAAACAGTTCCTGGATCTTACTGCCTTTCTAGTCACTTTCTAATGGGCTATATAATTCTCCATCTCCCCTTTTCTTTGTGATACAGAATAAGACAAGCTTCATCTCAGCCAAGAAGGGAATATCAGCCAAAACCACGAATGAGCCTAGAGTTTGCCACTGGAGACAGTACTCAGCCCAACGGGGGTCTCTCCCACACAGGCACACCCAAGCCTGGAGGTAAGCAGCTGAAGGCTACAAATCCCTTTTCCTGGGACTTGGGTTCACCCGTAGACCATGGTGAAAACATTGAGAGCATTCCGTTTCCCCTGCTCAAGAACTGCACAGCAATCTGCTCCTCACGAGAGGGTTGTCAGGCAGGAACTCTGTTCATGGACGTTTCTGCCCTTGCCACACCATCCCACTTTCTTTTCCTTCTCTCTGGAACTTTCTCTGCTTCCTGTTTTCTCTCATGCTCTGGTTCACAAGGGCTTCCCACCACACCTAATTGATCTTCCTATTTTTTATATGGTTTTTAGAGACAAGGTTTCTCTCTGTAGCCATGACTCTCCTGGAACTCACCTTAGAGTTCATGCTGGCCAACAGAGACCCATCTGCCTCTGCCTCCTGAGTGCTGGGATTAAAGGCTTGTGACACCGCCGCCTCGCAAACACTCAGTTGTTTTTCACCCTCCTCTGTAGTTGTATATCATACCATAACTTCTCCTGCCTTTTCCTTCTGCCGTGAGTCTGCTGAGGAGGGACTATATGCCCCTGGACGGTGTGCGCGCACATACATCCCCTCTCACCCACAGACGGCAGCTCCAGGAAGCATGTGTTTGCTTATATCTGCAGATGGAGAGATTACAAGCCTCAACACCTGCTCTGTTTTCTTTTTACTCTGTACTGTAGACCAGTCCATCATTTCATGAACTGTGGTCAGCATGATGACAGCTACATTTTTCCCCCCCAGGAAAAATGATTGTACCCACTAATTCAGTCTCTCCATTGCCATGATCATTCTCAGCTACCTACATACAAATCAGACCCAGGTTTTCTCTTCAGGCATTTCCAGCTGCGAAACTGTCTCGGTTAAAGAAGGGGGGGTCCATCTTACATGGGATGCAGATGTTAAAGATCCACAGCTTTATCCCATTCTCCTGATTCACTGTGTTAGAGAACTTTTCATACCACGCTGTTACGACATGAGGAAGAGGGTGAAGTCTGAGCCTCTGTCCAAGCTCGGAGTGCCCAGTGTTACCCAGTGTGGGGCCCAAACAGCAGTGGACCTAAACTTCATTGAGTAAATTATCTATGACTGCACTTCTCCTTGCCCAGAAAAAGACATACATTTAATTTTCTCTAAATAAAAAAATAAATTATATTGTATCCCTTTTAAGATAGCTAGTGTGGGGCCCATAGGCACTTTGATATTTGTATTTATGTGTATGCTGTATTAATATGTTTACTCATTTAAAATGGATCTCTTTTATGATAGAGTCCATTTTTATTAATTTATGCAATATGCATTATATTATTACTGTAGGCTGTGTTTTTTACCCAGTACTCACGTGTGTATATTACATACCAGTTCACCAAATACAGGCTGTGATTTTTAGAATGTTTATCATTTGATGGCACAATAATTTAAAGCAAATTCTGTTAACTATAATTTTGGATGAAGAAGTAAATAGAATGCCTGAGCCAGGTCACACAGAGAAAATTCCTGGACCTAGTACTTTATGTTGCTATAGCAGTTCTCAAGGATCTGCAGTTGTCAAAGAGTGAGAGCTGACCCATGATTCTGAGGTTTTAGAATATTGTCTGTGTAACTAATTAGACTGCCTTAAAAGCACTAAGATGAATGGATTTGGCCATATCTGTGATTAACTTTAATTTAATTATTAACTCCAAAGCCCTTGCTTCCACATCTCTCCACATTGTCAGGAAGATGAACTTAATGAACTCTGTTATAATTACCACAAACATACAAGTAACCATTTTTCATACTGGAAGTATTAACCAAGAGTGTTCAACGACTCCTAAAGCTCTAATGGAACGTAGGGAGACTGGTATAGACAAAGATGCCTTGTAGTGGATACTGGAGCATAGGGAGACTGGTGGGTGCCTTGTAGTGGATGCTGCAGCATAGGGAGACTGGTGGGTGCCTTGTAGTGGATGCTGGAGCATAGAGAGACTGGTGGGTGCCTTGTAGTGGATGCTGGAGCATAGGGAGACTGGTGGGTGCCTTGTAGTGGATGCTGCAGCATAGGGAGACTGGTGGGTGCCTTGTAGTGGATACTGGAGCATAGGGAGACTGGTGGGTGCCTTGTAGTGGATGCTGGAGCATAGGGAGACTGGTGGGTGCCTTGTAGTGGATGCTGCAGCATAGGGAGACTGGTGGGTGCCTTGTAGTGGATGCTGCAGCATAGGGAGACTGGTGGGTGCCTTGTAGTGGATGCTGGAGCATAGGGAGACTGGTGGGTGCCTTGTAGTGGATGCTGGAGCATAGGGAGACTGGTGGGTGCCTTGTAGTGGATGCTGCAGCATAGGGAGACTGGTGGGTGCCTTGTAGTGGATGCTGGAGCATAGGGAGACTGGTGGGTGCCTTGTAGTGGATGCTGGAGCATAGGGAGACTGGTGGGTGCCTTGTAGTGGATGCTGCAGCATAGGGAGACTGGTGGGTGCCTTGTAGTGGATACTGGAGCATAGGGAGACTGGTGGGTGCCTTGTAGTGGATACTGGAGCATAGGGAGACTGGTGGGTGCCTTGTAGTGGATGCTGCAGCATAGGGAGACTGGTGGGTGCCTTGTAGTGGATGCTGGAGCATAGGGAGACTGGTGGGTGCCTTGTAGTGGATGCTGGAGCATAGGGAGACTGGTGGGTGCCTTGTAGTGGATGCTGGAGCATAGGGAGACTGGTGGGTGCCTTGTAGTGGATGCTGCAGCATAGGGAGACTGGTGGGTGCCTTGTAGTGGATACTGGAGCATAGGGAGACTGGTGGGTGCCTTGTAGTGGATGCTGAAGAAAGATGAAGATCAGAGGGGAAATGAGTGACTGGGAGAGGGGAACAGAAAGCTGGTGGGTGGGGCAGGCAGTAAGTGCTGCTGGTTAAATACCGTGTGATTTTTTTTGTGTTCTCTCTGCCTCTGATTCTCAGGTGCCCAAATGGACCAGCCCTGCTGCCGTGCCCTGTATGACTTTGAACCTGAAAATGAAGGGGAACTGGGTTTTAAAGAGGGTGATATCATCACACTCACTAATCAAATTGATGAGAACTGGTATGAGGGGATGCTTCATGGCCAGTCTGGCTTTTTCCCCATCAACTATGTAGAAATTCTGGTTGCTCTGCCCCATTAGGATCTTATGCTGGCTGGCTCACCTCCTTCTGACTCAGATAGTTAAGTTTAACCACTGCTTTGGTAATGCTGCTTCCAACACATCATGAATGCAGGCCGCAGTGGATGAGTCATCAAGCCCACACATGTCCTGGGTTGACCTGTGTGCTCCTACAGTTGACCCGGTGATAGACGGTATCTTCCAAGGCCAGTGGCCTGGCACATGCTTTAAAACTTCATCTGAGACTAGCCAGCGGTCACAGAACTGCTCTTCACACAGTTCTCAGGAGGGTGTGTTTTCTGAAAATGTATCTGTGAGCCACATCACAGAAAAACTCTCCTCATTGAAGATATTGTCTCTCACCCAGGGGCCATCTCAAGGTCTCGAGTTCTCCATGTACAGAGGAGAAAGTCCTTTCTGTTGCACTTTCCCTTCCTAAATGTGTGAGTCACAGAATTGATGTGAAGCATCCCCCACCAGCAAATCGTCTGCTGGCCTAAGCAACCTGGGCATTTGATGCCGGCAGCAGAAGTATTAATTGCCCAAAGCACTTACTTTTGTTCTCATCTATCTATCTATCTATCTATCTATCTATCTATCTATCTATCTATCTATCATCTATCTATCCATTCATCCATCTAGCTATCTCTTCATCCATCTATCTTCTATCATCTATCTATCCATCTATCATTTATCTCCTACCTCTGAGACATGCTAGTTTTCTTCCCTCCCTGCTGTTAAAGCACTAGGGATCTATCTTCTGTCTGTCTACCGTCTATCTATCTATCTATCTATCTATCTATCTATCTATCTATCTATCATATATCTTCTACTTCTGAGACATGCCAGTTTTCTTCCCTCCCTGCTATTAAAGCACTAGGGAGGCAGGGTTCCCATTTATTTCTGAGTGAGTTGGTGAGCATTCTGTGTATTGTCTGAAAAGAGAAAATTCTCCAGGATGAATTGGGAAGAATCTAATCTCCAAGCTCAGATTCCTTGCTGTATAGAAGCTGTGTATATACGTAGCCCATTTCTGAAGGATACAGAAAGGGGGAACAGCTGTCTTCCCTTCTCTGTTTATTTACCCAGGAATCAGTCCATTTCCTGAGTCCCTTTGCCACAAAGACATAGGAGAGAAACACTAGTAAGCATTCCCCACATCTCCATAGAACAAGACATAGTGACCGTCGCTCCTGCTCCCTCCCACTTTTATCTTGTTTGTGTTCCTTGAACATCATTTGTGTATATTCTGCCCTCAATGAGGACCAAATAAAGATGATTTTTGTGCTTAGCAGTTTAAGTATGTGGCTGCACATAAACCCTTTCTAACTTACAGTCATTACTTTAACCCTTCTATCACATCTTCATTTTGTGTGTACAGTGCTGTGCAAGCTGATCAGTGTTGTTTTTTTGTTTTGTTTTCTCTGGCTCTTTTCCCTTTCAGTCATGGAAGTCCTGTTAGGCACCCAGAGTTATATTTATCTAGCTGTACAGGCTATTTCAGAGGTTTAATGTGCTGCTTCCGGAATGCCACTTGCAGTAGTGGATCACGTGGAGTGAAAGGCAAATCTTCCTGCTTAATGTATAAACTCACCATGGGAAGCGTTGCTGTTTCCAATAAATATTGCTGAAGACGAAACAGAGGGCTCTGCCTCTTCCTTACTTGTCAGTTCCTTGGTCTGACAGTGGGTGGACTGGGACTCCTTTGATCTCCATTGCCTTTGAATGCAGCCAGTCCAGACCTGATCCCAACCTCATCTCCAGCTTGTTGTGTACAGGAGGAAGAAGTTCCAGAAACAAAATGTGAGCTAGTTTAGGCACTGGCAGCAGTAATTCCAGGAAGGAGAAAAACCTGGGGGAGAGGGTAAGTAAGAGAAGAATGTTGCACGGTTTAATAAACAAATGGTGATGTCAACAGGAGAACACAGTGTTAAAAAGAAGAAATAAAATATGTTGGCCAGACTTTTGGCTTTTTTTGTTTTTAATACTCCTTTATTTTAATCTATCTAACTATCTATCTAATTTCTACCTCTTATTTCCTTCTTCAACTCCTCAAGTGTCCCCCCCCCAATACACCTTTTGACCAACTTCAAGTCTTTTAATCCAGTTAGTGTTGGGCATGTGTGTGGGTATGGGACCATGCATGAAGCTTAGGAAACCACTGGTTACCAAAACTTCAAAAAAGAAGGATTCTTCCTTTCCCAGCAGTATCTACCACTATCTACAGGCTACAGTCATTTGGGAAGAAAAAAAATCAATTAAGAAAATGCTTCCATAAGATTGGCCTGTAAGCCAGCCTGTGGGGCATTTTCTTAATCAGTGATAGGTGCAGGAGGGCCCAGCCTAGTGTAGGTGGTGTCTCCCCTAGCAGGTGGTCTTGGGGTACATAACAGAGAGAGCTGAGGCAGCCAGTAAACAGCACTCCCCCATGGCCTCGGCATCAGTTCTAGGCCCTTGCCTTGCCTTGAGTCCCTGCCCTGATTTCCCTGGCTGATGAACAACAGGCTGTAAGAGGAAGTCGATTTTGGTTGTGCTGTGTTCTCATAGCAGCAGAAACCCCAACTAAGACAAACATTGTACTCCTTTCCCCAGAGACTCCCAGATTCTGGCAAGTTTGGGAAGCACTAGGCTATATGTAAATATTTTTAAATTAGCAGGGTGCTATTCACTGACATACTGACTTTTTTTTTTTACCATTTTCCTTTGACTTCTCAAAGCAGTTATATCTATGGGTTGATTCTATATGATTTTACAGGTGTATTTCCACCTTCACACAGAAGGATACCACAAACCCAAGACACGCTTGTGACAGATGTGTGCTGAGTATCCTCCTATCTGGATTTCCCAACTTGCAATCATTTGTCAGTGCTTTCCTGGTCACTCTGTCTTGTGATGCAACCAGAGAAAGCAATGTACAGCAGGGCCACAATTCCCATATGGGGCTCCTGTCAGAACACTTGGTTTTCTCATTTGGACTGATGCATCATACAATTCATATTAATATCCCAAGAGAACATGCTGCCGGTATGCAATCAGAACTCTTAAGCTCTTCCTCATCTTGCATCCTGACGACGGAGATTCTGACTCTCACCTAGAGGTGGGCTAGGAGCTGCATGTTATTACAAACATCCTGTCCAATCCTGTACTCATATGCCAGTGGTCAACAAGACTATAGTCTAAGTAAATCTGGTTCATTCTGGGAAATTGATTGGTAATAGAAGAAAAGTTGGAACACTGGCAACCAAGGGGGAGGGAGAAGGAACCTGTTTCATCTCACTCTGTCATGCAAGTGTTTCCTATGGAATGACAGAGACAAGAAATATTGGAGAATGCACAGGTCAGTTCTTGACACCAGAAGTGACAGCCTTGTTTCTTGTAGGAATATCAGAGAGCTGAAGTTATATAAGAACCAGCAAGAGGAGGAGAAAATTATCAGATTATGAATTTGATAAAAACCTATGTAGATGGATGGACTATACACAGGCACCAAAGCTGCAGTGTTGCCCGGCCACTGTTCAGCCTTTACATCCTTCCCATACCCTTTTTCGTTCATTTTCCTGGGGCCTACATTGCCCTCTGGTGGTCAAAGTACACATACTAATTAATCAATTAAAAGGCTTTACAATTACCTGTAATAATTGTATGGTTTTGCTGTAGTAGCAGACCTTAAAATCTCCCTCGTCCTTGGTGTACTGCTCAAGATGCCACTCCTTTAATTGATTCTTTTTAGTAGTTCTTAGTGTCAAGCTGATACCCAGTGAAATATGTAATCCTCAGGAAGAAAATCTTGTGTCTGTTCTTGTAATAAAGAATCACCATCGTTATATAATTGTTGAGCCATTCATAGTGACTGCAATTTGAATACGCTAGAACTACCATACTCCAAACTGGCTAATCATCTATGCTCTTTGTTTTGTGGATCTCAGATAAAAAGTGTTTAATCTTGAACCTTCAAGATATTCTGTCTTCATGGACAATCATAAAAGTTACATTCCGTTTATGTTTTAGTTAGTTTTCTACTTCTGTGACAAAACAGCATGATCAAAGTAACTTCTAGAAGAAAGAATGTATAGTAACTTACAGTTCCAGAGGCTGAGTCTATGACCATCATGGTGGAGACCATGGTGGCAGGCAGGTAGGCATGTGCTGGAGCAGTAGCTGAGAGTTTACATCCTGATCTGCAGACAGGAGGCAAAGAGAACTAACTAGAAAATGGCATGGACATTTGAAATCCAAATCCCCAGTGATCATCTCCTCCAATGTCACACCTGTTCCTTTCCAAACAGTTTCACCAACTGGGAACCAGGTGTTCAAACATTTGAACCTACGGGGCCATTCTCATTCAAACAAACACAGCAAAAGCAGTGTTCATAGAAGGAGTCATTGAAAAGCCGTTTCACTGAGGTGTAATTTATGTACAATGAATTTGTGTGCATGCACAGTCAGCCCTTCCTGCTGCCTCCATCTTCAGGATACTTGAAGTGAGCAATACTTTAAAGTACAAAATGTGAGGCCTTTTAGTTAAATGGATAAACGATACTGGCACAACCAGCCCTCCATCTGGAGAAATACCCTACCCCACGCTCCCTTCCACGATCCTCATGCCTTCCCTATGAACTCTGTATAGCATAGCTCCAGCATCCTTCCCTTGCCCACTGCAGAGGAGTCAGGTTGAATATAGGAAACTCTCCAGGTTCTCAAAGGTAAGTCACAAGACAGCCCTCCACATGTTCATGAGTATTTCCAGTTCACACTGGTATTCTCACACCCCGCTTCAGTTCAATGCTTTTGAGGCCCACTTACATTCGTTTTCCCCCAGTTTCTGCCAGTGTTACCAAACTCTTCCTTCAATGTGAAGACATTCTCCCAGAGCAGTCGTTTTCTCTCTCTGCTCTGGCTGTACTAATACGCAGCATGTCATCGCCCTGGAGGCAGAAAGAGGTCCATCTGCTGACCAGTGTCTTCATCCAAGGAGAGGCTGGCTTCTTCCAGAGCAGTTGGGGAAGAATTTGCCCTTACTGGGTGAACTAATTCAGAAGATTCCAAGACTGCAAACTTCTGGGGCTTGTCCGTCTAGCCAGCTCCTTCATACTTTCCTGTGCTTTGACATATGAGAACTCGATTTATTTTACAACTTTGTCTCTTTGGCAGATTCTGAGGCTCTTAAAGACTTCCCTAGAGGCTCCCTGTTTTCACAGTTCATGGTATGCTGACCTGGAGTATAATTTTCTGTTTTCAGGAGGTTCAAATCTTTACTTAAAGTAGTCAATGCCACAATCCTTATAACTGTGCCTAACTGTACCCCTTCTCTTTACACCTAACCCTAACCCCACCTAACCCTAACCCCACCTAACCCTAACCCCACCGGATAAGTTAATAATTATGATGCTTTCCCCCTAAATGTCCTGCTAACTGGGACACTCCTAAGCAAAAACTCAAGGAGAGATAATCACACCTAGCACTGGGCTTTTTACTTGGAAACCTATGTGTGTTGTAAGAGTATTATCCCTTATGTGGTAGGTTTTTTCCCCCTGTGTAGTGACTTTTTAAAAAATACCCCATAATGGAGGGGGACAAGAACCCCTGAACAAATTGGGACGGGGGATGGATATGGAAAGGGAAGAAGGGGAGAAGTGGGGGGAGGCGAACAGAGAACTGAGACAGGGGAGGAATAGAGGAGGGCAAGAAAGGAGATGCCTTGATAAAGGGAGCCAGTACAGGCTTGGAAAGAGGTCTGGCACAGAGGAAATTGTCAGGGATCCACAGGGATAACCCCAACTAAGAATATAGGCAGCGGTGGAGAGGCTGCCTTTGATGCCCTTCCTCTATGGGATTGATGACTACCATGGTTACCATTCCTAGATCCTTCACCCAGCAGCTGATTGAAGCAGAAACAGGCACCCACAGCTAATACTAAGCCAAACTCCCGGAATCCAATTGCAGAGAGTGAGGAGAGATGAGCAAATGAACCAAGATGGAACTGGAGATACCCGCAGAAACAGTCGAACTGACCTAATGAGAGCACACAGACCCTAGTCATAAAGTGGGGGGAACCAGCATTGGACCAAACCAAGCCCTCTGAATGTGGGCTCCAGCTAGGAGGCCAAGGCAGTCTATAGAACCTCTAACAGTGGAGCCGGGGTTTATTCCTAGGTCACAAATGGACTTTGGGAGCCCTTTCCCTATGGAGGGATACTGTTGCAGCCCAGATAAACAAAGGAGGGCCTGGGCCCTCCCCAAATGATGTGATGGACTTTGATGATCTCCTGTGAAGGGTCTCACTCTCCCTGGGGAGAGGGGGGTTTGGGTTGGGGGTTCGGTGAGAAGCATGGCATGATGGGAGGGCAAGGGAATGGGGGGATGGATATGCAAATAAAAGTGTTTCTAAAATTTACAAAAAATTTTTACAGCAGAAAAAATAAATACCCATAATGCTACTAGCTATCCCTCTCCCAACACCCCCTTTGTCTTACTTTCCCATCCTGACATGCTTCTATTTGCCCATCTTCAAAATAGTTATTTATTAGTCCTTACACATGGTGATCAAAATGCCTTCTAAAATGATTATGAACTAATGTTTCTAAATATTTCTTCATAGAATCCTAAGGCCTTAGACGAGATGCTAGGGGTGTGATCTAT